ACACAGTTTATACACGAGTTGATGAAGATTGCAACAATACAATGCATGAAATAGAAGTGTTTCCTATTTTGTGCAGCATGTTGCAAGCTTCTTTGACTCCTGTATAAACTGTGTTGCATGCAGCAAAGTGTTGCATGTTGTGGTTTACTGGTATATTGAATCGTATGATAATAAAAGTGTTTTGTGTAGAAGTATATTCTATAGAAACAGTTTCTCCATTGAATGATCTAGGAACTGTGTAAATAAATGAAATCATAATATAATATATTCTATTTTACCTCTTTGATATGAGAATGTATTATTATTAGATATTCCTTCTCCTAATTCATTAACTCCAGTTATAACATATGTATAACGATGAATAAATAAATTATTATCCACAAACTGATAACTAGTAGTAAATATTGATACAGTATCCACTAGACTACCAATAATATTATCATATATTCTTAGTATGTAATACTGTATAGATACTCTGTCATCAACTGTAGGAGCAGTCCATGTTATATCAATAGTAGAACAGTTGTCAATTGAAGAGTCAATATTAGTAACTGGTCCAAGAAAACCTAAAAGTATATACAAATGAACATTCAGTATGAAGCAAGTTTACCAAATCCAAAACAAGGTGTAGGTAGAAATTCTCCTCCATTATTACTCAGTGATACATTAACAATAAATGTATTTAAACTATTAGGTACAGTTATTACTCCAGTAATCATCAGTTGATCATTAACTTGTGGTATTATACTTCTGTCCTGTATCTCATTATCATGAGTATTCAGTATAATAACTGTTATACCATTAGGATACTCTCCTTTGCATAGTTCACTGACCTAACTCAATTGAGATTGTGTTTTACTCATAATACATCTGACTTACATTAATACTGATATTCAATGATATTTGTTGTCCATCAGTTACTGGTACCACTGATACAGGAGGAGTAATGAGAGGAACTGAAAGATACACTGTGAACATATACATGAAGCCATAGTAGGACTAACCTGTTTCATAATAAAAACTGATGTTATTAGATGAACCTATTCCAACATCATTAATAGGAGAAACTGATACATTATTTAATAAACAAGTATCAGGATTAGTAGCTGATAATGTAATACTCTTGTAAGTAGTAGTAATGTTCACTAATCCATTGACTATATAGTATCCAGCAATAGGTACATTATCCAGTGTATAAGGAGCTGTCCATATTAATAATACACTGGATCCATTAATAAAGGTATAATCCAGATCAACAACACTATTCAATAGACCTAAAGAAGAAATTATAAGAATAATGTCACTGTGGCACACTAACCTTGCATCATTAATATTGCTGTATTACTGAGCACTGCCTGAAGAGGTTCATCAGTACTAGCTCTACATCTCACTTCAGTATTATTGTTATGTTCATAAGCTATTGCTTGTAGCTCTGTTCTTCTAGTACCATCATGAGCACTTGATGTTACACTAAATCCTTTAGCTATAACATCTGTATTAGTAGCTGGTGTATTATTAACCCGAACAGTAAGTTCATCACCAGTTCCTTCACAAGAGAAGACAATAGTAGAGTTGAGTGTTGCATTAATAGACACTGGCTGAACTGTTATATCTATCATGACAATAAAATGTGACAACATAGTGGTAAATATGAAATGCTTAGTTACTTACTAGCACAATCTATCAACTGCAGCAGAAGAAGAAAAATTAACTTCAACATTTCTGAAAGAAGGGCGTGGCTGTTGACCATTATAAAATCATCATCACGATGATACGATTCTGTGCCCTGGAATTTGCACGAGTTTTGTCAGTCATGATTACTATATCCTTTATCCTTTTACTTCAGTCCTGTCTTAGGTGAAGTCTTTGTGCTAGTAAGTATCACTAATACTATTTAAG